TTATGTGGCTGCTGTAGTCAGAATTTAGTCTTAAGAGGACAACAATCAGCTTGGTGGTGGCACCCTCTTAGTTAAGTGACCGGACATTCTAGATGCATGTCCTTAAATCACAATTCTTACTATGTTTGCGGGGGTCCCTCATCAGAGGCGTTGTTAACCTTCTCATTGGAGCTCGTATAAGCACTAAACCTTTTCAAATTTGAACAAAGAGGAAAAGTAATTCAATTCTAAAATACCAAGAGCCAATAAAGAATTTTCTTAGCCTGGATTACTAATCGCATCCCTTTCGTAGATTTGCAGTCTTATTGGAATTTTCATCACATCAAGCGTGCTTCTTACAACATCTGCGTGACATTTCATATGCCAAGACCTAATGAGCTTCCGTAACTCTTTTTTCATAAATTCCTTATGAGCTTATTATATATAAAAGCGACTTTTTTGTTTTCTATGAATACTTACGTACTACTATGTACTATATATGTATATGAATTTTACGGAATAAATACTACAAGATTTATAAATTAGTAAGTCAGTGTGCATTTGAGTATATACTCATTCAAATGTAAATGAAATACAGTCCATGTCTCAACTAGCATATCAACATGAGAAAAGTTCCAATTGCTCAGAGCTGGCGGATTAAATACATATGTATTTTGAGAAAGTGTGTGAAATATACATATATAATTAACGTTTTGTAACCGCTGAAACGATTTTCGGCATAGCGCCTTCTCCAACTTATGTGTGCGTCTTTAAGTTTTTCCTACAAATGGAGGGACCTGAGCCGCTTTGGAACGGCATATGGATTTTTACGAGGATCCTCTATTTCATGTAGAAAACACACTCGGAGGTTTTGAAATTCTCTGTTGAGGGCCGACTGCAATAAGAAAATTTTGGGATATTGGTTGTGATAACTAGGAACAAGTCTCTCTAAATAAAAGTAGGTCAGCGTAGGGTAGGTGCAGTGAAAATGGAATTGATCTTTTTAGTGTGATTGTTTTCTTGTTCCAAATACCATTGAGAAACTTTGAGCTCGACCAATACGGGGAGTACTTGGCAAAGCAACGTAGTTTTCATCAGATGTAACTAATATATTTGAGAAGTTAATAGATTGTGCCTCTTAAATAATGTGTTAACTGATACCACCAGAAGTGTTATTTTAAATAGGTGGCTTTTCCAATGCTTCTTTTGAAGCTGTAATGTTTTGACATTTCGCTTCAACTACGAATTGATATTCTTAAAAATCATTTTACAAATTTCATTGAAAAATCGTCTTGACTAATCCGGCCCATTTCCAGCTGAATGGCTAAATCAATAATCAAAACCTTGCATCTGGGGCTCGTGAAACCCTAGATTTATTGCTGAAAAGATTCTTCATCCTCAACCTTAACTGTTGGTTCGGTTTATGGCGGGGTCGTTGGACCTTCATTTTTTGAAAAAGAATGCATTGCGCCATAGAGAGATGCCTGAAAATTTTTTGAATTGGATGGTATTGATCTGGACAATTTTTACTTTCACACTTTCACGTGCCACACTAACAACGAAACCATCGATCTTTTAAGGAGAAAAGCTTCTTTGAATACCAAAATGACACCTCTTTTTTGGAAACTCTTTGTATAATTTGTAAAAAAAATAATATTTAATAAATATGTATGTAATGTATAACAAGAAAGGAGTGTAAATTGTAAATGCGTTCCATAATAGGGGTGGTAGGGGTCACAGGGAAGGCCACGTTAGACTGCGTGGCGTCCGTTAGCAGCCAGTATGCCAAACAGTGGGAACCTGAAGTTAATTCCAGTGGTAGAAAATCGCACTAACAATTTAAAATATTTATTATTATTATTATAATAATTATTTGTTCCCAATTATCACCTCATCAATGTGTACTCGTATATACAAAAAACTGCCGAGTTTGCGGCCGAACTCTTCCTCCAATTATTTTTTTTTTTGTATAATTTTGGTTGTTTGTCTGACCAGGTTTCGAATCGACGACCCTCATTGCAGCTACTGCGACCGCTTCTTACTTTCTAAAAATATTTTATTGCCATTCACTCAGTCATTTCGGTGTAATTACTTTCAAGTGGCGATACAGTTGTGGCATGCACTGTACTTGCAATTCAGACGCGACATGCAGTGTGCCTGAGAATTTATGTATGTACATATATTGAAGATAGGATGAGATGGGATGAGTTGCACATCGGAAATGCATAAAATCTCTTTGAACTTTTTAAGACTGTGCACATACATATATTTTCCTTCAGTATGTTCACATGCAAATGTATTTAATTTTTGTCAGCATGTATTTGCATGCTTATTTGAAAAAAAATAAATCTGAAATCGTCTGGAAAATGGCATCTATTCATGCAACAGACCACAGAAGCATGTGATGGGAAAATTTTTATGTTAAATTCACATGCAAGAACATTCCCACAACTGAAGTTTTCTAATCGCAATAAGAGAAAAGCTTTTCTTCATGTCACAGTTTTTATGTTCGAGGAAGAGATGACAAAGGCGACTCTTTGTTTTTGAGTAAGTTAAAATAAAATTCCCATACTCAATGGATTTAGCACGAGGCAAAGTAATGTGTGCATTTTCTAAGGTGACTCCATTTATAATTTTAAAAATATGTGTATGTACATACATATTTATTCTATTATCTATTTAACCGTCTTTAAAGCAAGGAGGCTGATGCTCAGAATATGCGACATTTATGGAGGGAACACTTCTCCAGCTTGCTGAATGGCAGTGAAAATGGAACAACGGGAGATGGCGAACCCGACTCTCGAGTGAATGACGATGGAACAGACGTCTCATTGCCCGTTTGAAAAACCTCAAGCGAAGCGGTCTAAAGGATTGCAGGCCGAGCTATTTAAATACGGCGGCGAAGCACTGACAAGGTGCATGAATCAGTTTTTTTTTTTCAAAATTTGGGCGGAGGAAAACCTGATTTATGATTGCAACATAAGTGGGCTCTGCTCAATCCACATAGAGGGGGATCCCAATTACCGTTGGATAAGCCACCTAAATATCACATATAAAGTCTTATGGAGCGTCAACTAACTGATTGGAATTTATTAGTGGGGATTTAGTTGTGGTAAATTCACTGTAAACCAGATATCCACCAAACACCGAATTTCGTAAAGTTTCGTGAAAAAAAGATCGACATTACCTCTTTATCGGCTATAAAGCCGCCTTCGACAGCACGAAAAAGAAACATGTAGTATGAATTTGTCATCCCCGCAAATTTTATAAAGCTATGAAAACTGACGCTAAGAAAGAAGAGCCTCTCCGAGCTGTTCGATACCAAAATCGGTTTCAAACAAGGTGACCCTTAATAGTGTGACTTTTTTAATTTATTGCTAGAGAAAAAATATGACCTGCTGAGCTTAATACAGTAGATATAATCTTAAATAAAAGTGTTTACCTGAACCGATGATATTAACACCATTAGCCTCAGCAACTGCTCCGTGAGTTAGGCTTTCTCCAGACTGGATAAGTAAATGACGTGTGAAACAAATAGCCAGACTGCTCAGGTCCTGGTTCTCACGACAGTCATTACTTTGAAGCCGTAAATAACTTTGTCTATCTTGGGGCACGAAGTACAAATTCAATATAGAACTCAGCCGCTTCTTTTGAGTGAGTAGGCAATTGAAAGGTTAAATCCTCTTTTATGAGTCGACGTTAAGAGTTTTTAAGAGAAAGATTTTGGGCGTGAGCAAAGGTAATAAATAATAGTGGCTACGTTGTTGTAACCGCAACAATAAGTACTTTTTGGGGTATGTTGCGGGAGTGACAGTCCATGACCGGATAAAAATCCGGGTCGTTCCAGTACAATGGCCCGGCTGTCGCTGGCTAGGTCATGTGGTCTGGAGGGATAAGAAAACTCTTGCTGTGAAAGTTTTCGATGCATTGTTAATTCGGTAAAAATCGCATAAGCGGTGTAAAGATGGAGAAGAAGAAGGAGGCTCGGTCATCATCGAGCTCATTTAGCAGAAGATCCAGTTAACGAACAGTTTCGACAACGTCTGTTTTGTAGAAGTTATGTTGAGTTGTAGTGGCCTAGTTTCGATAGGCAGAAGTTTAATTTTATGGTGTTGTTTTAGCACTAAGAAAGATTCATTTCTTTACCAGGTTGCAGTTTATTAGCTCTTGAAGGTAGAAGAATTATTGAAGCAATAAGTTTAGGTACAGCTCTCCAAGCCTTTCCTATGATATTTCTATCAAATTTATAGATAATAGTACGCGGTCGCGGCCGCGGTAATATTGCGTTCTGCCACTCGGAAGGTGCGGGCTCAGATCCTAGTACGACCAAAACCCAGAGTTATAAAAAATTAATGCAGTCGTCCCTCGGCAGTGAATATCAACCACGTCGCCGCAGCACCTTGGCACAATTCAGGTTTAGATACTGTAGCAGGTTAAACTTCTACTTATCCAGACTCGACTCCAGCATATCCAACGTATGCCCTGCATGTGGAAAGTCTCCGCACGACACTGACCATCTCTTAACATGCTCCCTTAAACCGACTCATCTAACCCCCTCTCCCGTTGGTCCAATCCCGTCGAACCAGCTCGTTTCCTGGACCTCGCCTTAGATGACCTCGGCGACTTAGATTAGTGGAATCTGTACCTAAGCGGATTTAGCGAACCGCGACAACAACAACAACCACATGTCGCCGCAGCAATCTGTGATTAATATTATCGATATGGGATTAGTGTCTGTGCGTAACGGCACTTCAACGCTACTTTTTCTAGGCAACCAGCTTCAGTCAAGTTGTTGACAACTTATCACCGACAACATCTCACAGGTGAGCTGAACTTCCGCATGACATTCGACTATGTGTCTATGCTGCATATTTACTCGTATGAAAATAGTAGAAGCACATAGTGCTTGTATGTAAATATGTATGTATGTGACTAACATTGGGCTCGGTTAACAAGTTCACCATTCACACAAACAACTTATGTATATGTAAATAAATTACATGAATATTTAATTTAGTTACCTGCGTTTTTTACTGTAGTCATGTGACGCCGAATTGATTTTCGCCGAAACTGTAGGTCTATGCGATTTTCGTAAGCACAGCTCCATTTTTTCGACTGCTTTTCTTTCGTTGTTAGCTTTATATACATATGTACATATACATATGTGTGTACGAATGTATGCAAGCGCGTGCTTGTAGTCGTTGGTGCATCAAACAATGAGAAATCGATTTTCCTGAATTTTCCTTTTAACCGTTGCGTGTTAGCAAACTTGCGCCATATATACGTGTATGTACATACATATTATGTATGCATTTATGTTTGTATATTTAATGCAGCCTAACTTTCTTTACCTGCCTAACAATCCTCGAGCTGAAGTTTAGTCGTATGCTGGCACACCTTAGTCTGCGCCAACGGCTCGTGGTTGTGGCTGAGAATCCATTTTCAGTTGCTGTAACATCATTTTATATTTATGGAAGTCTGAACGTTAATTGTGTCATCTGGTCTCACTGGGACGTAACGGTACACTATATAGTTTGCTAATGCTTTTCTTAGCTGATGCAATTTAGATTTGTACATACATATAAGTACATATATATAATCTATAAACACATATGTATGTACATACGTATGTATGTATGTATGTTTTTATGTATGTATATAAGTTGGTATGTTTTCAAGTTGTCACAGTTGGTGCTGATTCGATTGCTGGTGAATGCGTTCAATTTGTTATTGTAGTCGGTCAATTTATTCAATTAGTTGCGGCTTGAATTAGATAATGGCTTGAGATTTTTATCTCCGCTTTGTATTCAAACGATTTTATAAACCGTATCACTATCACTTTGTTGTGCACATGAGGAAGGCGGAATGAATGATCAACCGACTAAGCGACCGAGTGCTCATCTGTCAAAGATGTATAAAACTCAGCGAATCGTTATTTGATATTTTGTTTGTTTTGTTTTTATTTTAGTTTTTCACTTTGATTATTAATTTGTACATATGTACATATGTATGTACGAGTATGTTGTTATGCATGCACTGCGGCTACTTTTGGCTCGCGTTCACATGGTTTATTGGCACATAGACGTATGTATGTATGTGCATATGTGCATATGCACATGTAAATATTTAATTTAAATTAATTTTATTTAGGTATGTATGTATGTATCTACATGCATATGACCCACTGGTTAGAGCTTTGTTACTTTAGCTTGTCTTTTATTAAATTCACTCAAAACTCAATAGAATAAAATTTCTTATTTGCCCACATTTTTGCAAGACTTTTTCACGCTTTTATGATTCATTTTAGAATTCATTTAGGTATTTAATGTATAGCATTTAACGAGGAGGCTAATTCACAGCATTTCTGACAGTTGGCCAATGTATGTATGTACATATGTGGAAACACTCTCAAAAACTTTTTTTCCATACATAAATGTACCCCCCACGGATATACATATGTACATTTGTATGCACATATGTAAAATATTATAGCACTGCAATTATTTTTACTTTGCTTTATTCAAGCAATATCACGCACTTTTTTTAGCACCAGAGCGAGCGCAAAAATGATTTTCTTTCCTTGACTTCTAAGTAGTTTTTTGACTTTTTAATTTCTAATTTTTATTTTGTATTTTGTTGTGACCGGGAGCAGCAGCGCACCAGCGATTCGCTACGCTCATCCAACTCGGCTTTCCTAGACAAACTGCTTAACTGAACGCTTTTGCTGTGGGAACGAATGCGAAAACGCGATTCGGTCTTTTTATTTAGTATCTGTGAGATACACACCGACTCTTGCTGTCGCTGGCGTACATTTGTGAAAACTCATTTGTTGACTTTGTTGTCATGACATTCCCACTTCTCTTTGGCTATGTGCTTTGTGTTTGACATTTAGCGTTGCTATGTTTGTTTCCCTTATTTGCTGATTAAGCTTTTTCATTTGGCTTATTCCACTGCGTTTTGTTTACAAAAAACTTTTATGAATGAAACTCTCTTTCTCTTTGCTCTTTGCAAATTTATGCTTGGTTAGGTGTGTGTGTGTGTTTGTGTGTAAGATGAAATAGCACCCTACATAGCGCACTTTGTTGTAATATTTTGACGATACACAAACGGGGGGATGATAGCTCTGAATATTGACCCCAACTTAGCTTTTGATGCTGCACGCGTTCACAATAGCCGAGTGGTTAGTGCCGCTCTGATGACTAAGGTTCGAGTTCTGGTTTGACCAACCCCCAAAATTATTGGAAATTAATTTTCTTAATTGCGTTAGTCCCGCCGGCATGAAATGTTAAGCCTTCTGAGTGCATGTCTGATATAAAAAAAAATCCATTCTAAAAATCCATCCGCCGTTCGGAGGGGGTTTGGTATAAAATGTAGCTCCCTCCAAAAAACATCAAGATGCACAACCACAAAATGGAGGAGAAGCTCGGCACAAATCGCCTTAGCACTTACGAAGTGCCATTTATTTGTTGGGTTGCCATATAAGAAGCCGGAGATTTTTTTAAAAGAAGGTAAATATGTACACTTTTTATATTTTATAATGAACTTTAATCAAGTATGTAATTTCCTTTTTTTGACGATCTGTCGTCATCTTTCCGGCAACATCAATATTCCACGCTCATAGAACTTCTGATCTTCATCTGCAAAAAACTGAACCAAGTGCGATTTTATAGCCTCGTCATTTTGGAAAGTTTTACCATTTAATGAGTTATGCAAAGATGGACACAACTGCTACTCTAACGGTACAAGTTTTGGGCTATATGGAGGATGCATCAACCGTTCCCACAGAGCTTCTCTCATTTTTTGGCGAGTGACCAAGGATGTGTGCGGTCTAGCGTCGTCCTGGTGGAATATGACACCTTTACGATCGACCAATTCTGGTCGCTTCCTGTTAATGAATGTGTTGTTCACCGTAGACATCCAAATTAATCGTTTGGTTCCTTGGAAGCAGCTCAGAATATACCACACCCTTCCAATGCCTCCAAACTGACGGTATAATCTTTTTTTTTTTTGGTGAATATCAGCCTTTGAAGCGGCCACAAGCCGCTTCATCATTCTTGGACCATAATCGTTTTCGATAAACGTTGTTATAAACAATCGTTTTTTCATCTATACCCTTGATTTGCTTCAAAATCGGATCATATTCATTGAGTTTAAGATGCCTATCACCAGCCTTGAAGTGGCTTGTTAAATGAATTTCTTTCAATTCATGTGGTACCCAAATATCAAGTTTTTTTCATCAGTTCAAGACGTCGTGAATTATTATAAACGGTTGATTTTGGTATACTTAACTTCTCTCCAATCTCACGCTCAGTTATTTGACGATCCGATTCCATTAAGGCCTTGATATCATCATCAACTTCACTTGGCCGAACTGAACGTGGCTTATCTATTTTCTAAAGCAAGCTAAAAGTGACAGCTTATAACTGTCCAAATAAAAAATAAAGTTAAATAGTCACAACCGGTTCCTTTTAAGGCAACCCAATGTATAATTATCCAGGTGTAATACACTTCTTATTTCTATTATGGTGAAGATAATATATTTCCAATAGATTTTATTTGGTGAAATCGAGAATACGAGTTCATATGCCTTCGTCGCTACCTCTGGGTACCACAGGGTTCCAATAATATATAATTTATATTTTTCATTAATTAAATTGGTATCTGCTTTCACTTCCATTGCCATCCGGCAAGCTTGACAAGTGTACCCTCCGTAAACTCAGTATCCTCTGGACAACGGCCATAAGATTATCTCCTTCCCTCCTACTTGAGTAAGCTTCAGTCTTAAAACCTGCTGTAAACCGCTGCATCTTTTAACAAAATTTTTCGAGTACTATCCCTGTCTAGCTTCCTTCTCCACTTCTCGGTCGTAGTCGATTGCAACGTTTCCGTGCAGTCTTTTTTTCTGCTTATCGCGCCCCTCTCTTTTTCCAACATTGTCGAAAACCAATTGTTTCTATAGCGACGGTACGTAGCCAGAATTGAATGCCGTTCCGTATGTCCCTTATATCCAGTTGTTGATGGGTGCTCTTAGAAAACAGCGGTGCAAGTTGAGTAGGAAACCATCTGATACTCTGTTGTGATTATAGTTATTTGACGTCGAGCCTTCCTTGTGTATGTTGACGGGTGTTCTTTGTTGCACAAAGGAGATGTGTATCTTTCCTGTTACAAAAAAGATTTCCGGGATCCTTGGGGTGTACACACATGTGAAACACTAGAGACCTGCCTTTCTTCCATCAAAATACCGGCGATTTGTTTCCTATATTCGTTCGACCCGGTGACAGTCACGTACATGGCTAGATACATTTTTTGTGTGTCATATTTCGAGCTCCGGCGAAGTCGATTAGCCTCAGCCCGTTTGCTGATGTTTCTTCATTTAGCGTAAATTATCTGACTGCTGTGCCTAAGGTATCTTCTTTGCTCGAATTGGCGTCAAAATCGCCAAGCAAGATTTCTACATTTAGGCTGGGCAGCGCTCATGGAAATCATCTCTTCGTCTTGTCGGGATAGTCTCCAAAGGTTGATTTTTTGCTGCCCAGGGAATACTTGACTTAAGACCGTAAGTCGTGAGCTGCTAGAACCAGCTCTAGTTTCCGGACCGTGTTATCTCTAGAAGAGGTGATCGTAATTGGCCACCGAGATGATGTGTGGGGGCTAAAACCCCCTTCGGCTTCTTCCTTTGGAGCTAAGGTATACGCCAGCAGGTCAACGTCGATTCAAGACCCCAAAGATGGAACTCGCAGGCGTTCAGCTACCACTTTGCGATTTGGTGATGGGAAATCTCACAATAAGGATACCGTCCTGTAAGCTGATACTGTTCACTATTATTAATTTAATATCTTCTTCTTCCATATTTTATTAGAAAACGCTGCATAAGGATACCGAAAAATTGTCTACGATACCATATAGCAGATCTAATCTCTAAATGTAATACTGGAGAAGAATTTTTCTTAATTTTTCATAAAATCCACATTATCAAAGCAGTTTCTTTTCTCTTTCTTTCATATATATAAAAAAATACATCAATATTTATTGTGCGCTCACAAATCACTAAAATTTACATTTAAATACTTACATACGTTACACATACTCACGATATAAAAATATATAATTAAAAAATAATTACAAAAATATTAGAATTACATAGAAACGGTTACATTTGAAATACATTAAATTTAAAATTAATTTACATAGTCTCTTTCGCAATAATTTTCTTATACTTAGAAATCAATATACATATATGTTTTTATTAGTATTTAAGAACTCTCTTAACTAACTGTTTATTTGTTTGATTCGCCAATCGATGCGGTCTTTTGTATTTGTTGATTCAAGAAGTTCTCATCTGCCAAGAATGTTGTCTTACCAACCTTTTCACCCGTTTCCATATTGAATTCAAAAACGCAGGGTATACTATTTGGAACATTCACAGTGGAAATATTTTCATCGGATATATCTACGGAGAATGCAAAAAGAAAACAAATACAATTTAATCAAGAAATGTAAATATTTGGTTTGAATAAACTCACTATCAATATGCTTGATTAGGGCACGCGCCACGGTGCCATGTGCCACGATGAGAACGCGCTTGCCCGCAAGCACCTGTTTGAGTATGACATTCTCAAAGTAAGGTATGACCCGTTGCATAAGAACTTTTAGCGATTCCGTCTCTGGAAATTCTTTTGCTGGTATATTTTTGAAACTCGGATTATTGCGTATTAAATCGTAGTAGGGATTGTCTGGCGTAAGGGGCGGTGGAAGAACGTCATATTTACGTCGCCAAGTCTGCACCTACAAACATGTGGGCATTTAATGGAAAATAGTTAAAACGAAACATTTAAAATATTTTTTGTAAAATTTTATTGCAATTGCATAGTGCGCAGTTAAATTATTTATAAGCAAATCGATATTAAGTGTAGCCATGTACAATACATATTATATTAAGCATATAGTATACGTGTATGTAAAACATAACATAAAAACAACAGAACTGGACTGTAATACCATAATTGGCGTAGTCTGATAAATACAATTTTTTAAAGCTTATTGGCGCCAATTTTTCAAAGCGTTGGCCATAAAACTTGAATTTACAAAGTTCATTTTAACCAATTTACATACGAGTATATATATATATATATATATATATATATATATATATAAACATAACTACTTAAACTATGTAAATACATAAGCTAACCATAACGCTTGCCTCTTATTGAATATTCAACAATGGAAATTGTGACTGCTCAATTGTATTTGTGGGGTTTTGAGGCGATTCTTTATTACTGTCTTAACCTAGAAAAAATTTGTAACAAATTTCTTAAAGTTCAAATTTTACCTACTGCATTTAAGCCACATGAATGCTGGGGACCGTTAAAATTGTTGGCATTATAGATGCGAAAGAAAAGGTATTCCGAAAAACGTATTTGATTCGGAGCGGCTCAAAGGCGAAAGAAAACAAGACATGTCATGCCATGCCAAAAAATTTGTTCATGCCTATCATGACATTATAAAATTTATTGCAAAATGCAAAATTCGATTTTGTTTATTTTTTGTTATAATACTGAATTTCACGCTCTTTACCCAAAATCTTATATATACTATAGTGGTCCGATCTGACTGATTCCGACAACTAGTTGTTCAAATGAAGCATTACATCGTTATTGGTTTGCGAACAAATACAGGGAGATTTAGGCATGATTAACTCAACTGGTCATTTTGGCTTGAGCGGTATACATTTTGAGGGTTCTATTTGTTCTTCTTCCAGTAATTTCTCGTAATTTGTCTTGTAAAAAGTAATCCACTTGAAGGTTTTATTTATCATAGTTAAAATTATAAGAAAAACATTCGCGATCGATCGATGGACAATCACATGCAAGTCAGACTCGATGATCTTCACTATCACATTGTGAAGCATACTTAAAACTAAAATTACCGGAACGAAATCAACGAAATTAAATTTGTGCATGGTTGACTGTTAGAGTATGAGGACCATAAACCCTTTATACATTTTGAGCTGTCATAATTTTGTTTTCACCTTAGCGTGTTTTTTCTTTATTGGTGTTCATGCGCTCAAACATTATTGACTTAAATGATCAACACTCTTCCCATTATCTATTTGAGTACAAAATATTTGTTGTAAAAAGAAATCCATTAGTTTTGCATGAAGTTGAAGGCTTTAATTTTAACTTTTCGTATTCAAATAGTTACAATCGATTTTTGGTGCAATCTTTAGACCTTGGACAAACGAAACAGTGCTTACATGACGGTCAGGCTCAACAATGTCCATGATTTTATCGAATTTTCGACAATTGGCCTTCCACTCCATAAAGCATTTTTTTACATTAAAATAACCGAAATGGAACCGAAATTGCGCGTGACTGGCTGTTGCAGTATCAAGACCATAAACGGTATTCACAGTTTCAGCCGTTAGGCTTGCGTTTTCGCCCCTTTTCGAAGAAAATCTGTAAAACATAGAATGTTTTCTCTTTGCCAGTGTCTATCTGAACCAACCAATCACAAGACTGCTACGAAAGTTTTTTTTTTTTTATACGAAACTTCATCTTCCTAACGCCATCGAACGGAACCCGATCGGCCACGGCATCTATTGGAAACATAATGGATTTCTTTTTACTACACCTAATATGATCTTTCTATGAGAGTGAGATACAGGGCACTAGTAATTTATTACAAAAATAATACATTTTTTTAGTATACCAATGTTATGATAGTGGTATGATGAAATGGCAGCAGATTGGGCTAAGAGACAAGGACTAGGAATAATCATAGGTCTGCCGCTTTACAGAAGAAGACAAAAGCTCTCCATGTTACAGTACAGAGACAGTACAGTCTCTGAAATATGGAGAATGTACCAGTCTATTTGGTATAGAAGGCACGATGTGGGCTAGCTCAATAAAGGCCCTGGGAGTTATTCTTGGTATCAAGACAATTGACATACAAGTGGCGTAAGATGCAGCACTAAGTGATAACAGATTAAAAGTTCGAAATAATTACGGCTAGTCTCCTCTGAAGTATATAGCAGCATACACAAAATTTTAACAAGAATAAGGCTAAACGTACTAAGCAACCCTCCTACCGAGTGGATGCTACCTAGTCCTTTCCGATATGAATTATCATTATTTACTAATGGGTCTAAATGTGAGGCGGGAACAGGTGTCAATCTCCCCTATAGAGATGGTGACTCTAAACTCATTAACTAAAACTCTTTCTTCCAAGCTTTACCGGAGGTAACAAAGAGACAACCGTTTTAATTTTGAATTCCATAAGATTTCTGGTTGATAACTAAGCAGCAATTAAAGTGATTAAGTGCCTCAATATAAATTAAAAATGTGTGCGAGAACATAGAAGTAGGCAATCAACAGACTATCACGAAAACACATCACTTGGAAAGTGACGAAAAGGCGGAAAAATTGACTCGCACTGCCGAATGCCGCAAGGTTTTCATTGCTTTCAAATCTTGTCTAAATCAGTGTACCGCATAGGAAAACCTAAATTCCTAGATCATTTCAAATGTAGGGCGTACCACTACCGTGGGGAGGGTGTATTTTAGGCAGACGTACTACTAGTACTAAGTAAGCGGGAGCTTATTATTCTTGTATCAACTTGTATAACACAACTCTTCCGACAGCCGGTTCTACGCACCGAAGCTGACTGGGATTTCTAAAATCATGATGGGAGCAACGCCTGGCCTGCTCCAAATCGTTTTCATCAGGACTGGCGTTGAAACCAAGTATGGTCCGACGGTGATTCCAAGCTGCCAGCCTTCTAACTTGCTCAAGCCTATACGGTAGTGTCTTCAACACCCCTGGCTACTTTGGGTAACTACCGCCGGACCGCCATGACCACACGGAGCTTCCCGCAGGAGGTACGAAAATTAATATTATATCCAATCCTAAAAAGAATTGCCATATATTTGATATGGACATGAAAGGCTTCGACATAGCCGATGAAGTTCTTCTATTTTTTTTTAATTAATTTTCTATTATTTTCGGATGTTGGTCGAACCAGATCTTGAACCCTAATCTTCCAGCAGCCACCCAGAATCATCATAGTCTCAAAAAATAGTTGCGTCAAATTTTCTAGGCTTAGATAGAATTAATTAATTTTTGAAATACCTGTTGCTCTCCATATTTATCGGCCATATCGCGTTTGTTGTACCCAGTGAGGTTACCATAGTGTCGCTCATTTAAATGCCAATCGCTGACAATTTCTAAATCACAGATATTCATTTCTTTCAATATAATACTGAGTGATTGTTTGGCCCGCGTCAATGCCGATGAGTATGCAATGTCAAATTTTAAATTACTTTCACGTAATGCTGCGGCCGAAATGTTGACAGCATCTTTGGCACCTGCGGTAAAGAAAGAGAGTTATTGCTTAATATACAACTTTTGAAAATTATGACACAATCAGAGGGAAGATGAGGTGAAGAATTTTAGTTTTGTTCAGCGACTAGATGGGCAAAACAGTAAAACAGATTGAACTTTGCTGAATCGTGTTCGCTGAAAACTGAGTAAATTTCCCTTTTTGAGAGAGTAAGACATTTTGCTCTCTCAATTTCGTTACTGGCTAATTTTTGCTGACATTTCTCAACGAACAAATTTATTTCAAAATGCCCCCGATATGAAAACGAACGCAATTTAAACAAAACCAACCGAGTCCTTAATCGAAATAAAACTAAAAAATACCGTAACTAAAGGTCTCATTTGTTAAAAAATGTTGTCATGAAGGATATATCCGATGTTTCTTGCATTTATTTTTCAAAGAATCAGTACGGAAATATCTAGTTCTAAACATAGAAAAGGTCGTATAAATGACGATGTTTACTCGGAGCAGTGATAAGGTGCGATCAAACCGGAAAACTAATTTTGTTTACATCTTACATATTTACATATTTACATATATATATATATATAATATATATATATATATTTACTCATTTGGCACTTTACTCGTTACGCCATGTGCATTGACCTACCTTGTTCACTCAAATCGGCATCGTGCCAACCGCAAAAGAGATTCAACTTATTCCATTCACTCTCCCCATGGCGGACGATCACCAATTGATTGGTCTTCATATCTACTTTTTGTTTCGCCTTTGCCGCGGGGCACAATGCTTTAAAACTGAGAGAAGAGAGAAAACAGCTGCGTTAAGTATATTTTAATAGATAGATTGCATATATAGAGATTTTAAAAATAGTTTCTTTAAAAATATATTTGAGTTATTGCAGATCGTTTGCGATTAATTAATTTCCTGAATTATGCTTTCCTTTTTCTTTTTAATATCTTTCATGTTTTTATAATTATATGTACAAATGTATTTAACAATAATAATACGATATTCATTTTAAAGGGATGTGTTGAATAAAGAGTTTTTATTACAACTTGACGTTGATCCAAACCATATTTCCCATGATAACAAAAAAAGCTTACCAACATCTTTCCATAATACGAGTACATAGCCAACATCCCTAGCAAAATCTTAAAGATCTACACTAATTAGTACCATAATAAATATTAATTAGCATTTTAGTACATTTTAAAAGGAATTTTAATGAAAAGCAAACTACTTCTGAGAGCTCTTAGTTACCACTTTTTTTGTAATTTTCTATGATTATTTGGAATACGAGTATATAATATTTTTTCGGCTTTTAATGAAATATTTATGTGGTAGTAAGCTACATATAGTCATGAGAACCTAAACACATAAATTATAAAATCAGAAAAATCAAAAAATGTTTTCTTAATGAGGGAACCTGGTTTAGAGGGTCAAAAAAATCGATTTTTTGAAACTTATCTCATTCGATTAGAAATGTATTCAGTAATATTTCCACAAAATTTCAGAGTCAAATTCCTAATCGTTCCGCAGAAATGGCCTCTGAGAGACAATGCGCTCAGGAGACTGGATAAGCGGGCGCGAGAACTTTGAACGTGATGTTCTCAAAACAGTGTTTTCTGTTTTGTGTACACGATTAAAAAAGTTGTAATTATCGCATTTTCATAAGTGATACCTTTTACCGCTATAGTGTAGGCTTCTATGTGACCCTAAAAAATCACAATAAAAAATTTTTTTTATTAGCTTTTTTCAAAAATATAGGTTCACATAGAAGAGCAAATCCTAAGCTACAAAAAAAGTATTCGTTTTTATGTTTCAGATGAAACCTACGATCGCTATCGTGTTCACAAAATAGATTCTTCGAGCGAGAAGTGCCACAAACAAATACGAATTGTTATTGCTTAACAGTATCAAATAAAGTGGAAATTAATTTTTCGTGCAAGATTTGTGTATCTATGACCTAATTCAAAAGTACTTGAAACATTTCATATGTAAGGAAACTTAAAACACTGTGCCGAATATCAAGCAATTTTCAGCGTTTTAAACCAGGTTCAACCCTTAATCGTCTTCATATTCAAAATACTTCTGAGAGCAACTGTATGCACAGACAAGTCAGGAGCGAACAAAACTATATTCTTAAGAATCCGCTGCCTAAGAGAATTTTATTCCTTATATCAAGTATATATAAATTGGGTACAAAAAATGTATTTAAACCTTGTTATGGAAATCAGCCTACCTAACAACATGTATAATCATCAAGTTTTTAAATGCAGCAGAAAGTGCGAGAGATTTTAATTCATTTTCAAGTTATTTAGTTTACTACATGTATTCAATTTATGCAAAATTAGTCAAGATTATTTTATATAAAAATAGTCAATTATTATTTCTAATTTAAATACTTTATTTATTATGTCCTGCTGGAAGGACACCATAAGGTGCGTCCTTGCAGCAGTACGCTGGTACTAGTCGAAAAGTTAATCATTTGAACGCTCATTGAAGGGTAAGTTCTCCGACGTTCTACCAATAAATCTAAGTTGTTCTCAACGGAGCTTACAAATAAAAAAATCGCTACAGCAATGAATATTCTCGGCTCCGTTTGATATTGTGGTATAGACATAAACTCTGAGATTCAAATAGCCTAAAAGTATGCCTTAATAATAAATACTAATTATCATTCGATCTAATAGCAGTATTATTATTATATAAAAGCAATTGACCTTCTAATAGCTCAAACAGCCATCCAACTCACTTCCTATTCCTACTTTATGACTGTATGAGAAAACTTTGTTAAAAGTTAAACCCATACCTCGCAACCGAAAAATATTGCCAGCTGCCAACGTGCTTGTACACTTTCGAAAGAGTTAATAATTTTCATTAAAAATTTAATTTTTTAGGCTTTCGCATCTAAATGCCAATCAAAAATACTACCAACAGTATTTTTCTTCTTTTAATTGCATTTGCTTTGTTAATTCTAAATTTACTTAAGAAGCCTATACTGGGAGCTTTGTACAATTGCAAGCGATCAGCTGTGTCGGTTCTATGGAAAAAGACCAAACGCACTGTATTTCTCTCTTATGGCCGTCCGTAGTGGCTGCGCATGGCGCTCTCACCAGACAGTTCGTATCAGCTGAGTTGGTTTGTTTTCTGCTGGTTAAGGTGTACATTAGAATATAAAATCCGGTGTTATTTAAATAAAAATTGATTGGATTAGCGAAATACGTCTAACTTATTCATTCAAAACTCATTCAAAGAGTTCGTGTTTATGGCTAAACAAACTTTCCTATATAACTACAATAATAATAATATACGAAGCTGACTAAAAAATTTCGGACTTTTACTTCCTAATTACAACACATTTTTTTAAATCTTTTTTTAAACAAATTTATCATTTAATACGCATTTTTAAATTCCATAAAGACCGTATTCTCGACACTCCAATTAAGTAAACTTAATAGCATGCTATGCAAGTTGGAATTATTTTCGTGCACACTGTAAATAAGCACACATGTTTTGATCACACGATATTATTACATGGTAAAAACCGTTGCAATCAGAAAAACATTTACAATTTTCTGTATTCAATTTCATTTTTTCACGCTAATTTAAAGTGCCAGTCAGCGTTAAGATTACATTACTACTACTACTCATACCATGCTTCTGTGCCACCGCCTTTGTCGGAAATGTGACGAGCGCGGGTATGCAAAGTGCCAACACCGGCCGCCACCAATGCAGCCATTGCACCCACTGCAATAACTCGGCGTAGCAAATTTCTGTTAGACATTTAAGCCACCAAAAAAAAAATTATTCCCTTTTTAAGGTAAGAAATACAATGGAATAGCAAAAACGCACAAAAAAATGAAAATAAAATTTAATTTAAAATTTACAAAAAATATATTTTCACTATATTAAATTTAAATTAAACTTTTTTTTAACACGAAAACTTTGTACTCAGAGCGACATCACCAAGCGATCATATAAGGCAACTTGGAAAAATTCATCTTCTTGCAATAAATTAGCTTTGTTCGGTGAGAAATGCCATTAAAAATTAAACAGTAACGAAATTGAGAGAAAGTTCATTTTGACGGTTAAATTTGAATCCGTTTATTTATACAGTTTATTTTTTCTGCTTTCAAATATTTTAATAAAATTGGCAGTTATTTATTGTAGTATTTATTATGAATTGTATGTACAATTTTATGGTATTGCTAAATATTTTCAGCAATGATGAGATTATTCTATTATAGCCGTCAAACGATAAAGTTACCAATATGTTTTCTCTAATAGTTCTCTAATAGGGCAAAAATTTATGTAAAATTGCTTTGCAAAAAATTGCAGCTTAGGTTTTCTGGAAGGATGATTGAAATACGAAAATGAGCTTTAAATTATTTTGCAGTGTAAACCACAAATATTAACAGCACATTATTATAGAATTTCTTCGATTCTGTTTAAATAAAATCAAAGTAAACCTTCAATTTTCCTTTTAAACACGATTAACCGAGTGGTTAGCATTGCGTACTGTCGTTCGGATGGCTCGGGTTCAAATGCTGGCATCGTCCTAACATCAAAAAGAATTATGGAAATTTAATTTAAAATAAAATTATATTTTAAATTTTCTAATTGCGTTCGCCCCTTGGCAGGGAATGTCAACCCCTCCGTGTGTATTCCTGACATGAAAATCAAAAGCTCCTCATAAGAAACCATCTCCTGTTCGGAGGGGGCTTAGTATAAACTGCAGGTCTCTTCATTTGTTGGAAAAATATCAAGACGCAAAACCACAGACCAAAACCGCAGGAGCTCGGTGGAAAATCGTTTCAGCGGTTATCAAGCGCCAATTATATTTATGTAATATTACATTTTGTTCATCGTCGTCATTTCCGGAAGCTTAAGAATGCGTTATCGTCATTGTAACTATGGCAGCAATTCTGCCTTGCAATGGGAATTTAAGGAATACAAAATTAAGTTTCGTTATACAAAAATAATAATATATATGTCTATGCCGGTTTGTGTGCGGCCGTGAACTTCACTTCCCTGCCACCACATTTTCATTTAACGAGTGTTTTTACTATTATTTAAATCTTTGAAATTATTAAATTTAATTAAAAAAAGTAACATTTGGGCACTTATTTGGTTAGTTTATTATTCATATTAAATTATTTGTAATTACGGAGCACATTTTTGGTTAGTTTGAACAAAAGCCGCTGTACTCCATGATAAGAAAATTATTTATAGTATTTTCATTTTAAATTATTTTTGTTTTGTTTTCAAAAATTCAATTATATGATCACAAGTCAGCTGTTTCTCATATCATGTCAGTTTTTACTCGCTGAAATTTTCCCAGCACGAATTTTTACTTTCTCGTTACTAATTTCAGTGGGTTTTTGGCTCACCGAACAGCACTATTATATGTATGTATGTATGTATGTACATATATCTAGAGATATGCGAATTTAGTACACATTTTCATGTAATCACAATTTCACACAAATAAATTGAATTGTGAGTGTGTGTGAGAATGCGACCGCTGCACTCCAGCAGAAGAAGAAGAAGAAGAAGAAGAAAAGATGCAGGTCAAACAAACTCTTGGAAACAAAAACTTACGCGGCCCAATTATTCTGCATTTTGTTTTTGCTTTGTGTTAGACGGGTGAAAATCAACGGTAAACTAATCGTGTACATGCAAACGATGGACTATGACTGAGTGATTCTCTGATAAATACACTTGGCTACACTTTTTTCTGTTTCTGTTTTTGTATTTTTTTTTTTACCTGTTTTTATACCTTTCATGAAAA